CTGATGCTTTCTTCATGTTGTTCACGTCCAATCCGTTTGCTGGCGAGAGTAAAACTGTTTGTCGGGCTACACTACTGTAGAGTTTATACTGTCTTACACGTGCAGGGATTCTTGGAAGACACTCTTTTCTTCACAGCACACTTGTGAGTATGTTAAAAAAGCGATCATATTAGTATATAGTCTTCGTCATACTACACCCGTGAAGGTCCCGGGTTATAAAAATCGACCTTCAGTAACCCATGCTTATCGGCGACTGACGGGGATCGGTTGGTCCGACTCGGATGACACGTGCCGTCGGTTCCTAGTTGCACAGATCGCTGCTCATGCTGTTGATCACTGGATTGTCTGGTCCAAGCTCGTTTATTGACAGACCACCGTCCTAGAGCTGGAATAAAGCCGAGTGGGGCGTAAAACTAAATTCACTCACTCACTGATACCAATTATACATCTAAAAAGTAATGTCATCATCATTTAAATGGTGAGTTTAAACGCGTATTTTACCCTTACAAGGACGAGTGCATTCCACACACCCTTCCTGTGTCATACATTCGTGTTCGGATATAGGTACAACATCTTCACGCACATACTTTTCCTACATCATTCAAATGTATTAAATACCGGATACGTTTAATAGACACCAACGAAAGAAAAGTTTAATGAGGGGGGAATACCCATATATATCCTCTCTGAAATAACTCCCTTTTAAAATAACAAATGTACAACACATCTTCCCTAACGTATCATAAATACGGGACACTGCTCACACCATTTATGAATGGGAAGCTTCAGGCGAGGCTGGTATGTTGACATTAATTGTAAGGCCGGGGTATGTTGACATTGTTATGGGCGGTCGGTGGCTTAGTCTCTCTGCTATACATTAGCTATGAATAAACCTATATTTCCAATAAAACATTTTCCTCGTGAAACATTTTTCCATGATAAACTCTGTTCTCTCTTCGAATTAAGGGTGAGTATTGTAAACATGAAAATGTCCTATAGATTGCTTCCATCACTTTCCCAACAAACCTAGCTTCGTGCCGTCACATTGCTACATGTACTCATCAGTTTTCTATTGAACATAGACATGGTTCTAACTATCAATTGTCAAAATAGCACGTTCTGAAGTAAAACTGTGCACATCATGATACACGGTTAAAACTCAAACCGTACGGTTTATTTGTCATCGCGTTAAATGGAAACGCTAGCGTTGAAACATCAACTATGCTAGTCGGGATAGGGCTGAATAAGTGAACGCCCTCTATACAAATGGTTCACAATAGTACGCAGCGCGGGGTGATTCGAAATCCGGCTGCCTTCAGCGTTATAGTCAATGCAGGGTGACGTGACTACCTCGTTCTTGCGCGCTAAATGTAATTAAACGACACTGCTAGCTTACTGATTGCGTAGTCTTATCTATTTTGTCTCTATGTATTTTTTTATTTTTTTTCTATACAGGTTGTCTAACGTTCGTGGTGTACAACGTGTAGACCGTATAAGATGGATCTGATCCAGCTAGACGTACAGGTTGTTTTTTTTCCTACATTACCCGACGTATATCGTGTTGACTTAACCCGTCTCCATTGTGGTACTTATACTTTCAACACACACCCTGCATTCATCAAAACCAGGTCGCACGCTCTAGCGAGCGCGGGTTAAACGACGAGGCCACGTCAGTTGTCAAGCGCGCTCAATTCAAACTGGGCTGACGGGTACGGTCTGTCTATTCAAGGCAGCACGCTATACACATAGCTCTATTCATAACCTTTTACTTTTGTTTTCTTATGAATTCTTTTCTGCCTTATAAACACACACCTTTCATTCCCCCTCACCTGTGACGCGCTGTTGATGCATGAGTCATCCTATCCGATCACGTGACTTGGATCAGCCAATCACCTTCCCTATTTTCCCTCAACCTCCCTCAACCAAAAGGGGTTCCTGCGCCCTCACTATATACTACTTACGTATATAGGAAGGTACAATCTTCTCCGTCAAATCCGATCTCAGCAGTAACTCCAAAATGTCCATCTTGTTTATGACTCTCGTCTCCAATCCTGGAACGTCAGATTTCAAGTGGTTCAATTCCACTTTCAGATGGTTAATTTCTTTCTCAAGCAAACTCATCTGATTGACAACTGCTGCGATATTTTCGTGTCCATGAACCACAGATGAGGCTGCTACAAGCAGCACCAACACACACAAAGTCGCCATGTCAGCTGGTAATTGTATAACTGTGTCAGAGTTGTGTAATCTAGAGCTAGGCGTCACGTGACTATCGCATTACATCTAACCTGGCAGCGGGCCAAACGGAAACACTGGAATCTAACATGGCAACAGTCTCAGAGCAGTGTTCACTTGAGTTTCCCATCACGTGACCACACGGGTAGTATCCATGAAGTCAGCTCACTGCCATTTTATCAATCAGTGGTGGGTTTACGGGATCGATCGATCCAATAACATGTTCATCTCAATGTACCAAAATACGTTAAAAGATGGTACTTGTTGTTACCCTGTCTGGCGCTCGGCATTAAGGGGCTAAAACAAGGACTGGTCGGTCGGAGTCAGTATACTGTGTCTGAGTGGGATATTCATGTTAAACTGCGGCATGGTATCTCAGTGGGCTAGCACTATAAATCGGCATCAGTCCGGACAAGTACAAGCAGCCACACAAACACACACACGTGCATGCACGTCGCTATATAAGTGCAATAATCTTGGACGCGACGTTAAACCCCATTTCACCTCACCTCATCTCAATGTGTGACCTGACAAATTTAAATTTGATAATTTCATAACTTTAAAGATACCATGTGTTCTACAAATGCATGTATGTACGGATTATTAGTTTAATGACACATAATATTACATAACTTCATTTGTTTAAAGTACTTGGTCATTTCGCATTATTTCAGGAAATATATAACTTCTAACACATGAGTATGTTGGTTGCTTAATCTACAATGTCACCATAGCACGGGTCAGCGAAACGGGTTCAGTGTCAATTACGAAATACGTGAGTCCACTAAGTTTCCATCTTCGCAAAATTTCAGAGACATGTGTATTGACAGCCGAAACAGATTCCTTTCGACCAAAAAGGCAAAAGTATATAAATGGATCACTGCAAATCAGTGACGACACCAGGTGATAGCCAAAAGGTAAGCATGTCCTGTTCCACCGGCAGAACCTGCCTTCATACCAGTTCCTATAAATAGTGCATCGGAGGCCTGGCAACAAACTAGAAATATAATTTTATCAAAGATTTTAAAGATCACATTGAAGATATCACGGCCTATACATTTGTTCCTTCGTATAATGAAAATGCCTGGATAACTTACGAGGAAAATAAAATAAACTTCCAAATATCTATCGATTGTAAGTACATGCAAAGCCCTTCTCTTTATAAAAGATATTCATCAGGTGAATATGGGATCGATAAATCGATTCTGTCACGACAAAGACAGTCAACTCTCCATCGCGAATTGCTCGTGGGTTCCCCAAAGATTTAGTGAACACTGAGTCAATTTTGGAAATGTATAATTACTATAGTGAGTGAGTGAGTGAGTTGGGTTTAACGCCGCTGTTAACAGTTTTCCAGTTATATCACGGCGTGTCAGCTTAATGTCATCTTCCCGAGGCAAGGGAGTTAACTGACCATAAAAGTCCAGTTTCCATTTATGTGGCAGCAAAGCCCGAAGTGATGCAGGTCTTAGACGTTTACCACTTCGGTGAAACCAACGAGCACGGGTATGGTGTTGACAAACCTAAGAACATAATCGGGGCGAACCGGGATTCGAATCCACAATCATAGGTTTCTGGCGCGCCGAAGGCTCGAAACTCTGCACAGCGAATCGCGGCGCCTCAGACGACTGGGCCATCCGTGCCCCCAGTTCCTCATAGGAGTAAACGACCAAAATAATATGTCTCCCATTAATTTGGGCTTCCCTCCCACAATAAGCTAACAAGCCATGATGCAAATAACTGTTTAAACCGGCGTTAAACCCAATATGCAATCCGACTAAGAATCGGCAGTCAGGTGACTACACGCGACTATATTTTGCAGCGTGTTCAGTGTACTTACATTATCGGCACGAATTGGGAAGAAAAGTGTGTGCAGATGAAGTATTTAAAAAAACCTTGTGACCAAGATCACTGCTAAATATGACCGCTTGCTGTCACCTGACCATCGACCCTTACCCGGATTGTAACCACGTGATCAAAAGGATGTTTATCCCAATTTGGCTTGTTTCTATTTTATGAGTTACAAATCGGTAGCCATCAATAGAAAGTTTCTGAGACCTGATTACAATTCATCTGGTTTGTTTATTTGTTGTTTTACGCCACACTCAGATATAAACAAACTATATGACGCCGGTCTGTAAATAAATCAAGTCTGGACCAGACAATCCAGTGAACATTGACATGCATCAACCAAGTCAGCGAGTCTGACCATCCGAGTGGCCTCTTACGACAAGCATGCTTGCTCAAGGCCTATTCTAACCCGCATCTTCAGCTGACCTACTTTATAAGTATCAGCACAAAGGCTTCCCTCGTTGTTAATTGATCATCGCGATATTTCGCGATTCTAACATTCGTGATTTCTTAACATGAGCACCTTGTCTGTTTTTTACTGCAATATTTCATGATTCATGGGAGTTCTAATTTAATAATCAAGCCTCTATTTTATCGAAAATATGTTATGTGCCCTTTTCTTGTATTGACGTATCGAGAAGTCAGTGTATTGGAAAGAGTGTTTGAGTTCCTTAACATTAAATAAAATGATGGTCTCAAATCAAAATCAACCCAACACCCCTTTGATAATCAAATGGTTGCTCCCGAATGACCAATAACTAATAACGGATACTTCCAAAGTAGACACGGTTGTCGTTTATCGTTTCGTTCTCCCGCAATTTGCCAATTATCATTCGCATTCGGTATTCCCCCATCACCCCAGAGAGCCCAGGTTCCCCCGCCACGCCACAGAGCCCATATTGCCCCGTCGCCCCATGGAGCCCAGGCTACCCCGCCTCCCCAGGGAGCCCAGGTTCCGCCGCAACCTCAGGGAGCCAGGGTTCCCCCGCCACCACAGAGCCCCTATTGCCCCGTCGTCCCAGGTTACCTCACCTCCCCAAGGAGCCCAGGTTTCCCTGCCACCCCAGGGACCACAGATTCCCCCGCAATCCGAGGGAGTCCAGATTCTCCCGCCACCCAAGGGAGCCCAGATTCCCCCGCCGCCCCAGGGAGCCCAGGTTTCCCCGCCACCCAAGGGAGCCGAGGTCCTGCAAACTCCCCAGGCAAAACAGGTTCCCCCGCCATCCCAGGTTCCCTAACTCTGTCATTTCGCATTATATCAGGAAATATATAACTTCTAACTCATGAGTATGTGAGTTGTTTCATCTACAATGTCACCACAGCACGTGTCCGCGAAACGGCTTCAGCGTCAATTACGAGATACCTCTGTACGCTAACTTCATCTTCGCATAATTTCAGGGACATGTGTATTGACAAAACTAGCAGGCTTACTGACAAGATGCATGGAAAGCAATTCTTTGAGCGAAACTTTAGAATTAAACTATATTTTGTTTCATAAACAAACTGTTATGACACGCTTCATTTCAGTGGTGCTACACCCTTCATTGACAGCTCATTAACACCGCTACCAATCAACCAACCAACCAGCCAACCAACCAACCAACCAACCAACCAATCAACCAATCAATCAATCAATCAATCAATCAATCAATCAATCAATCAATCAATCAATCAATCAATCAATCAATCAATCAATCACGTTACGGAGGCACGAGTGGCTAAGTCGTGTAAGGCGCCGCGATTCGCCATGCAGAGTTGCGTCATTTGGGCACACCAGAAACCTATGATTGTGTGTTCGAATCCCGGTTTGCCCCGATTATGTTTCTAAGCTTGTCAGCACTATACCCATACCCGTGCTCGTGGGTTTCACCGAAGTGGTAAACGTCTGAGACCTGCATCACTTCGGGCTTTCCTCCCACATAAAGCTAACACGCCGTGATATAACCGGAATACTGTTAAAAGCGGCGTTATGACCAACTCACTCACTGTTTGAGGTGGTACAGGAGAAAACGTTCTTCACATGATAATAATTTATATTTAACAAGATGTCGGTTATGCTGTACAATCATTAGGTAACTCATTCAGCACACACATTGATACACTCATACCCAAAGATAATTTTTGCAAGGTTCTTGATTTCTTTAACATTTCTGGTACAAAACATTTGATGATGCTTGGAAATATATCTTTGAGATAAATTAGGATTTTGATTCATGGAAAGCTTCATATCTATAACATATACGTAAAAAGTCAGAGACTGGTAGTGGTATATACTGTATAAAACTATATACCTTTCCTCACATGAAAGTTAAAAATCATCTACTGACGTATTAATCAATAAACCATTAATGCGCGACGGCGAGATAGCGTATGATAAACGGTTTGGGCAACGTTGAAACGTGTTTCAATTGCCATTATAAATCCGCATTTCTGTTATTAGTTAAACGATAGTATTTGTAAAACAAACAACATATTCAAGGTAAGAAGAATGCATGGGTGAGTGAGTGAGTTTGGTTTAACGCCGCTTTTAACAGTATTGCAGTCATATCGCTGCGTGTCAGCTTAATGTGGGAGAAAAGCCCAAAGTGATGCAGATCTCAGACGTTTACCACCGGTGAAACCCACGAGCACGGGTATGGTGCTGACAAACCTAGAAACATAATCGGGGCGAACCGGGATTTTATTGTATGTATGTGCGTGTGTGTGTATACATATATATGTGAGTCAAGGCCGTGTTCGCAAGCCGGGAGGAGTGAAACAGATGACGCTGGGAGGAGGAACGACCGGGGAAGTTGACCGCAATGTGTGTTTTCATGTCACTGTGCCCTAGTTCTAACATTTAATAAGGGAGGTAATCAATACATCCTCCAAATCTACTGGGTAAGTCTAGTGTTTCACCCGCTGGCTTGTCACACACAACTTGTGTTACGTTATCCCCTGCGTTGAACCCATTCTTGTCCCCCGCCCTGATATTGGTGGAATAATGTTATACATGCACAACACCCCAGTCACTTGTCCACATTTTGCCCAGTGAATATCCGGGTCAGAATTGGTCTCCAACGAACGGTACTCAGCAATATTCCAGCTGTGTGACTGCTGTAAATAATAAAGTCTGGACCAGACAATCCCGTGATTGACATCATGAGCATCGATCTACGCAATTGGGATACGATGGCAATCTTTCCGAGGCAAGGGAGTTAAATAAAATAAAACATGCAACTGTTATCAAATTTCATAAATAACAATGAGTAAACTTTCTATTGAAATTTATATTTTGTTTTCATTTAAATCCGTCTAAAAAATAATCTCATTATAACTAGACCCGTAAAGATCCGGGGTAGAATACGTCTTCAGCAACCTATGCTTGCCGTTAAAAGCTACTATGCTTAACGTAAGAGGCTACTAACAGGTTGATGCATGTCACCGTATCCCAATTGTGTGGATTGATGCTCATGATATCAATCACCGGATTGTCTGGTCCAGACTCGATTATTGTGAGACCGCCGTCATATAGATGGAATGCTGATGAGTGCGGCGTTAAACAACAAACAACAAACATACAAACAAACAAACATATTAACTGACAATATATTAACAATATCCATGTTGCGAATAAAAAAATACGAGCGAAATGCTTTAAAAACTAGGTGACCTGTGCAATCCTGAAACGCAATACCATTACAATGGATGTCACGACTTGCTCATATGTAGCAGCGTCGCTCGTTTCCTGTTCTGGTGTTAGCTGAAGTGACAGCTTCCTCAACTGTCACTCCAAACACTTTACATGATTACATCAACACTCAGCCACGTGTATAGGTCAGGGATATGTCGCAGGTTCGTCCGACACTGAGCCTTGCCGATGTCCTGGGTAATGTCGCCAATGCAGGTTCGTCCGACACTGAGCCTTGCTGACGTCCTGGGTAATGTCGCCAATGCAGGTTCGTCCGACACTGAGCCTTGCTGACGTCCTGGGTAATGTCGCCAATGCAGGTTCGTCCGACAATGAATCTTGCTGACGTCATGGGTTGTGTCGCCAATGCAGGTTTGCCCGACACTGAGCCTTGCTGACGTCCTGGGTAATGTCGCCAATGCAGGTTCGTCCGACACTGAGCGTTGCTGACGTCCTGTGTTGTGTCACCGAGGCAGGGTCATCCGACACTGAGCCTTACTGACGTCCTTGGTTGTGTCCCCGATGCAGGTTCGTCCGACACTTAGCCTTGCTGACGTCCTGTGTTGTGTCACCGAGGCAGGATCGTCCGACACTGAGCCTTGCTGACGTCCTGGGTAATGTCGCGAATGCAGGATCGTCCGACACTGAGCCTTGCTGACGTCCTGGGTAATGTCGCCAATGCAGGATCGTCCGACACTGAGTCTTGCTGACGTCCTGGGTAATGTCGCCAATGCAGGTTCGCCCGACACTGAGCCTTGCTGACGTCATGGGTAATGTCGCCAATGCAGGTTCGTCCGTCAATGAGCCTTGCTGACGTCCTGGGTAATGTCGCCAATGCAGGATCGTCCGACACTGAGCCTTGCTGACGTCCTGGGTAATGTCGCCAATGCAGGATCGTCCGACACTTAGCCTTGCTGACGTCCTGGGTGATGTCGCCAATGCAGGTTCGTACGACACTTAGCCTTACTGACGTCCTGGGTAATGTCGCCAATGCAGGTTCGTACGACACTGAATCTTGCTGACGTCCTGGGTAATGTCGCCAATGCAGGTTCGTCCGACACTGAATCTTGCTGACGTCCTGGGTTGTGTCATGGATGCAGGTTCGTCCGACACTTAGCCTTGCTGACGTCGTGGGTTGTGTCATGGATGCAGGTTCGTCCGACACTTAGCCTTGCTGACGTCCTGGGTTGTGTCACCAATGCAGGTTCGTCCGACACTTAGCCTTGCTGACGTCCTGGGTTGTGTCATGGATGCAGGTTCGTCCGACACTTAGCCTTACTGACGTCCTGGAATGTGGCACCAAATCAGGCTCGTCCGTCACTGAGCCTTGCTGACGTCCTGGGTTGTGTCATGGATGCAGGTTCGTCCGACACTTAGCCTTGCTGACGTCCTGGGTTGTGTCACCGGTGCCGGTTCGTCCGACACTGAATCTTGCTGACGTCCTGGGTTGTGTCACCAATGCAGGTTCGTCCGACACTTAGCGTTACTGACGTCCTGGAATGTGTCACCAATGCAGGCTCGTCCGTCACTGAGCCTTGCTGACGTCCTGGGTTGTGTCACCACTACAGGTTCGTCCGACACTTAGCCTTGCTGACGTCCTGGGTGATGTCACCAATGCAGGTTCGTCCGACACTTAGCCTTGCTGACGTCCTGGGTTGTGTCACCAATGCAGGTTCGTTCGACACTGAGCCTTACTGACGTCCTGGGTTGTGTCACCAATGCAGGATCGTCCGACACTTAGCCTTGCTGACGTCCTGGGTTGTGTCACCAATGCAGGATCGTCCGACACTGAGCCTTGCTGACGTCCTGGGTAATGTCACCATTGTTACTGAACCAAACTAATGCTTTCAGTGGGATTGTTACTGAACTAAACTAATGAATTTAGTGGGATTGTTACTGAACTAAACTAATGCATTTAGTGGGATTGTTACTGAACTAAACTAATGCATTTAGTGGAATTGTTACTGAACTAAACTAATGCATTTAGTGGAATTGTTACTGAACCAAACTAATGCATTTAGTGGGATTGTTACAGATTTAAACTAATGCATTTAGTGGGATTGTTACTTCACTAAACTAATGCATTTAGTGGGATTGTTACTTCACTAAACTAATGCATTTAGTGGGATTGTTACTGAACTAAACTAATGCATTTAGTGGGATTGTTACTGAACTAAACTAATGCATTTAGTGGGATTGTTACTGATTTAAACTAATGCATTTAGTGGGATTGTTACTGAACTCAACTAATGTATTTAGTGGGATTGTTACTGAACTAAACTAATGCATTTAGTGGGATTGTTACTGAACTAAACTAATGCATTTAGTGGGATTGTTACTGAACTAAACTAATGCATTTAGTGGGATTGTTACTGGTCTAAACTAATGCATTTAGTGGGATTGTTACTGAACTAAACTAATGCATTTAGTGGGATTGTTACTTCACTAAACTAATGCATTTAGTGGGATTGTTACTGAACTAAACTAATGCATTTAGTGGGATTGTTACTGAACTAAACTAATGCATTTAGTGGGATTGTTACTGAACCAAACTAATGCATTTAGTGG